CTCCGGGAGTATGGGGTACCAGGCCCACTGATACAGGCTGTTAGGTCCCTGTAGGACTGATGCCAGTGCTTAGTCCACATTGTCTGTAGTAAGTCTGACTCATTTCCAGTGAGAGTTGGACTCCACCAAGGTTGTCCTTTTGTCACCGATTCTGTTCATAACTTTTATGGACAGAATTTCTAGGAAGGTGTTTAGGGGATCCTTTTTGGTGACCTTAGGATCACATCTCTGCTTTTTGTGGATGATGTGGTCCTATTGGCTTCATCAAATCCTGATCTGCAGCTCTCACTGGAGCGGTTCGCAGCCAAATGTGAAGCGGCCGGGATGAGGATCAGTGCCTCCAAATCCCAGACCATGGTCTTGAGCCAGAAAAGGGTAGAGTGCCTACTGGGTCTTCCTCTGGGCCTCCTCCCAGTTGGACGTGCATGAAGCACTTCCCTARGGAGGTGTCCAGGAGGCATCTTGGGGCAGCTGTAGCTGAGTAGTTCCCAGATATTCAGTCACATGTTAAAGTGTCCCTAGGCAAGACACCAAACCCTCAATGCCTCTGATGTGTGTCCCATCAGTGTATAAATGTGATTTAAAACACTGTTTAGTCTCCATAGGATGATAGCTTTATAGAAACCTAATAGAGTGCTATGTGAATGGGTAAATGAGGACACAGATTGTAGTGTGAAGTGCTTTGAATATCCTGGTTGGATAGAAAGGTGCTATATAAGTACAGTGCATTTACTATCCTTACCAGATATCCAAACCACCTCATCTGGCTCCTCTCGATGAGCAGGAGGAGCAGCTCTACTCTGASTCTCTCCCGAATAACTAAATAACCCAAAGTGCAGGCCATAGGTGAAGCTGGGAATGTAGACTGACCACTAAAATAGAAAGTTTTACCTAACAGCTCAGCTCCCTCTTCACCACATTAGACCACTACAGAGTCTGCAAAACTGTGGAAGTATCTCTCAATCTCATGCTCCAATCTTCCCCAAGATACTTGAACTCCTCCACTTGAGATAGAACTTTACCCACAACCTGGAGAGAGCAATCCACCCTTTTCTGACTGAGAACCATTTCAAATTTGGAGGTACCAATCCTTATCCCAGCCACTTCACACTCAGCTGTGAACCGCTCCAGTGAGAGCTGAAGATCATGGCACAATGATGCCAACAGAACCACATCATCTGCAAACAGCAGAGATGGAATCCTAAGACCACCAAACAGGACTCCTTCCGCCCCCTGGCTGCACTGAGAAATTCTGTCCATGTAAGTCATGAATAAAATTGGTGACAACAAGCAGTCCTGGCAGAGTCCAATTCCCACTCTGAATCAAAATCAGAATCAGAATCAGAATCAGCTTTATTGGCTAAGTATGTTGACACACACAAAGAATTTGTTTCCGGCTGATGATGTCTCTCCAATACACATTCATACAATATTCACAGTGATGGAAGCACAATAGTATAAGACATAAACATTATAGTCTGTGGATTATATACAAATAATATATACATGTTATGTACAGTAAATGTACACGGGGTGAGTGTGTGGTAAAAAGGGGAGGTTAGGCACTAGTTAGCAGGTCTGATGTTTGGAATTGTTCCTCAGGGAGATGGCCGGGGGGAAGAAGCTGTTTTTGTGTCTGGATGTTTTTAAGCATGAGGCTCTATGGCGCCTGCCGGAGGGGAGCAGTTGAAAGAGACTATGTCCTGGATGTGTGGAGTCTGACATGATTTTCTCTGCCTGTTTCCTGGTTCTTGTGGTATACAGGTCCTGAAGCATGGGAGAACCAATGACTCTCTCAGCTGACGTGATTTTTTGTTGCAGTCTGTTCTTGTCCTGCTGGGTGGCTGTTCCGAAACAGACTGTAATGTTTGTGCACAGGACAGATTCTATGACTGTTCTGTAGAACTGGACCAGCAGTTCCTGTGGCAGACCCCGCTTCCTTAGTTTTCACAAGAAGTAGATCCTCTGTTGGGCCTTCTTGCGGATGGAGTTGATGTTGGTCTCCCACTTCAGGTCTTGGGATATGATGGTTCCCAGAAACGTATAGTTTTCCACAATGGACACGGGGTTGCCAGATATTGTCAGAGGGAGTCGTTCTGGGGAGTGTTTCCTGAAGTCAACTTTCATCTCAACTGTTTTGAGTGTATTTAGCTCCAAGTTGTTTTCCTTACACCAGAGCACTAGCTGTTAAAAATTGAAGGGGTCCAACTTACTACTGGCAATGCTAATCAAACTCTTGCACCGATTGTTTGAGGACTGAATGATCTGTAACAACGGACGTACAATCCCGCTCTCACGTAGCACCCCTCAGAGTGTACCATGAGGAACACTGTCAAATGTCTTCTCTAAGTCCCCAAAACTCATGTAGACTGGATTAGCAAACTCCCCCTCAGGGACCCTAGTGATGGTAAAACATTGGTCCAGTATTTCACAGCCAGAACTGAACCAGCATTGTTTCTCCTGAATCTGAAGTTTGACCATCGATCGGACCCTCTTCTCCAGTACCCCTGAAAAGACCTTACCTGGAGGCTAAGGAGAGTGATGTCCATATAACTGGAGCACACCCTCCAGTCCCTGTTTTTGAAGAGGGGAACCACCACTCCAGTCTGCCAGTCCAGTAGCACTGCACCTCAATGTCTATGCAATGTTGCAAAGCATGTCAACTAAGACAGCCCCACAAAATCCAGAGCCTTGAGGAAATCAGGGCGGATCTCATCCACTCCTGGAACCCTGCTTCCGTGGAGCTTTTTAGCTACCTCAGGTACCTCAGCTCCAGTTATGGATGGACCAACCCTGAAGTCCTCAGACTCTGCTTCCTCCATAGAAGACATGCCGGTGGGATTGAGAAGGTTTGAGATGTATTCCTTCTACCTCCCGACAACATCATGGGTTGAGGTCAACAGCACCCCTCCTTCACTGAACACAGTGTTAGTGAAGTGCTGCTTCCCCTGCCTCAGCCACCGGATGGTTTGCCAGAATCTCCTCGGAGTTGATCGAAAGTCTTTGTCAAAGGCCTCACTGAACTCCTCCCACATCTGAGTTTTTGTTTCAGCAATGGCCAGGGCTGTGACCCACTTGGCCTGTCAATACCCCTCAGCTGCCTCCAGAGTCTTATCAGCCAACAAGGTCTGATAGGACTCCTCCTTCAGCTTGACAGTCTCCTTAACTCCCACCGAGTTTGAGGATGGCCACCATGAGAAGCACCAACAACCTTGTGGCCACAGCTCAAGTCAGCCGCTTCAACAATTGAGGCCCTGGAACATGGCCCACTCAGATTCAATATCCCCTGCCTCAGCTGGGATATAGTTAAAGGTGGTGATCGGTTGACATATCAGCTCCTCTCTTTATCCAGGTTTCCAAAACATATAGCCAAAGATCAGATGGCCCGACTACACAGTCAATCCTTTGGGTTGGGGTAAAGTTCTGCCTCAAGTAAAGGAGTTCAAGTATCTTTGGTTCTTGTTCAAGAGTGAGGGAAGATTGGAGCGTGAGATTGATAGACAGATCAGTGCAGATTTGCAGACTCTGTACCAGTCTGTTGTGGTTCAGAGGGAGTTGAGATGTTAAGCAAAACTCTCTGTTTACCGATCAGTCTATGTTCCTAAAGTCTATCTATGACCATGAACTTTGGTAGTGACTGAAAGAACAAGATTGCAGATACAAGCGGTCGAAATGAGTTTTCTCCGCAGGGYAGCTGGACTCTCCCTTAGAGATAGGGTGAGTTCAGTTATTCAGGAGRGACTCAGAGTAGAGCTGCTGCTGCTTCTCCACATCAAGAGGAACCAGTTGAAGTGGTTCAAGAATCTAGTAAGGATGTCCCCAGGATGAATTTTGCCTGAAACTCTCAGACTGAAGAAGTCTCTTGGAGAAGAGACGAAACGTTTCATTAGAGAAGAAACAGTCCAGAAGACCTATACTATTTTTTTATTTTTGATTTTTACCTGGATTACTGAGATGCATCAGGACATGTCCCCAGGATGTCTCTCCCTAGGGA